TCTTCTCTGTAACATCCATTGATAGAGATCTGTACAGTACTCAGAGCTTACCACTAACCATACAAATCATTGAGGCCAGGATAGTATAGCGACTCAAAACTTCAGATCATACAGCTTATCAGATGACCTTAGACTCAGCTTAACTTACCTTAAACAGGGGCTAGTTGCTCTCAAGCTGAATTCAATTTTTGGGGACTACATGGATGCAACATTATAGAAAGGGTTTGTCGTCTTGTCTTCTTCTAGGGTGTTTTCCAAATTCGAGTTTAGCTTATACAGTAACCCTGATATTCCCTGGTAGTCTCCCACCATATGCTAACCAAGCTTGATGTTTAACTTCTGAAACCAGCTGCCCACATTGAAGATTTGCAGTGATGCTAACAGAGCAGTACAGCTGATTGCCATGCACTTCAAGAAGTCCCAGATCCCTTTGTGCTATGACCCTGCAGCCAAGATTTCCTCAGTGAAAATTGTCAGCAAAATCCTGAAAATGAGTGGAGGTAGCTATGGTAAACCTCTGATGGGCTAACTACAGTATACCTATAAAACAGATGCTACAATTGCTACTGACTAGTGGAAGGCACAGTACAACTGGTTTCATCTTTATTGAGACTTATCAGGCATAGATAATCTCCAAGTGCTCAAACTCCTTTACCAGGACTTGAAATCACTGGGATTTGCCCTGGGTGACTATCTAGTGCATTAAGCTTTAGAGCTATCTTGGCCTGATGGTTAGTAGCTTGTGCAAAGCTATAGATGCTACTACAGATTTCACAAACTATTGACACCCAGGCCAAGATAGCTCTAAAGCTTAATGCACTGTATAGTCACCTATGGTCACGGTACAAGGGAATCTCAGATTCATTTAGTTCAGACCCCTGCTTCGCGCAGGATCTGCTAAAGCATTGGTTTGGAAAGTCCATCTCTTGAATGCTTACCTAGAGGAGTGACAGCTATTCCTAGCTGTAGAAAAACATGGAGGGGATTTGGTCTATATATCAGTCACCTTCTGAGCTGGCTAAATGCACATGAGTAACCAGCTGATTATGAATCTCAGCAGCTTCTCTAGATCTGGCCCTTTGCCTCTGCCAATTCTTAGATTTCCAGTGGTTGTTATGACTACTAAAGCCATTGCTAGTGACTTTTCCATGGGATGTTCTTCAATTAATCGAGGTAAGAAAATTTGGCTTGATGAAAAATCCTTTCATAAAGTCCAGTGCATGCAATTTGATCTTGGCCCCATGTAATTGTAGGTCAGGTTTGTACAACTGGTATAATGTAATAGCGGTGTACTCTTTAAATAATTGTGAATTGTAATTGGCTGTTCTGAGAGTCCTAGTGGATTGAAGAGTGGATTAGTAAATTACATCATTTATTCCATCAATCCAAAATGGAATTGTTCCAGGGAAAGTGGTATCAAGAGCTATTAACTACAACTGGTTTTTCTCTTCTCTTTCCTCAAGAAACAGTGATTTATTACGCTTTTGTAAAGCCTTGAAGGAGCACTTCCCTTCAATTGAGGTTTCCACAATGCACTCCTTTGTTATGGCTTCATAAAATGAACTGGTGCTTTGATTCCAGATACTGCACCAAATGGGCTGCTTAATTTGCCTTAATTTGCCTTCAAGGGATTTCTAAACATGAATGTGTGGTTGCAGAAGACATTTCCACCAAAACAAAGCCACCAGGCTAAGCAAAACAGTCTCATGCTTTCAAATGAAGACATTGAGCCAAAGTCCCTTACTTGTCTGAGGTGCCACCATGAAGTAGTTACCTCCAGCCATCAGAATTGAGATGGATCGTCTTGCACAGCTGTTTTATTACTTGTACGTTTTACTCACTTTCAATAGCCTTGGATAAAAACAGGATATGCCTGCCCTCTAGTGGGGAATTAAATTGCACTTATTTATTTGAATAGTTCTCAAAACATTGCTGCTTCAAGGATTTGTGAATGAATACGTAATTAAGTGTTCTCTGCCTGGCCCCATAGGAATTGTTTAATTGTAGTGAAATCATCTACAATTAGCTTTCTCACCAGTCCCAGAAAGACCCTGATTCAATGGTCTAGCACACATAGTTTTAAAGCAAGCTGTTCTAGGTTTGATCTTTGGCATTTCCCAATGGGGCTGGGAAAGATGCTTGTTTGAAGCTCCCTAGATGGGTCCTGCTGACAACCCTGAGCTATCATGACTGCAGGTCTGGCTTGGTCTAAGGCAGTGTTGTCCAAACTTGGCCACTTTAAGATGAGTGGACTTCAACTCCCAGAATTCCCCAGCCAGCCATGTCTGGGGAATTCTGGGCTGGTCTAAGGTAACTGTTTAGTTTTTGAACTAAAACTCCTAGTTTTGACTGCTAGGTAATTTGAAACTAGGACAAAATCATCACATACAGTTTGCCTTTAACCTTGGGGTCCCCACCATAGCACAAGGAGAAACCAACATGCCCATGGATCTCCTTGGTTACCCACTAAACCCCCTGCCCCACCTGATTTTTCACTTTTTGGAAAAAAGGGAAGCTGTCACTCAGCTAAACAAAAGTATTAGTCTCTAGCATTGTCTTGATTTCCAAGAATGCCTCTGAGAACTAAATATGTCCCATCCAGTTTTTTTTTTTTTAATGATGGGCAGTCATAGACCACTGCTTTATTTGTGTGCCCACCTACTCCGCAAAAGAAAAGCAAGGGGGAGTTAGGAAGGCAAACAGCTTAATAAAACTGAACGTGTTCTGCCCCCTGACTGAAGTGAATTTCATTGCTTTCCTCTCTTAGATTGGTAGAAATTAACTAAAACAATCCTTGGTTTAGAACTGAAAGGTGGTACAGTATAATAAGTACAGAAACTGAGGTGAGAAGTTCCTGTTTCAAATATGTTTATGAAGATTCTCAGTCATCCAGGTGGAATTGTCTGGAGGTTGAGTCATGGCAACTGGACTTCTTTTCTTTTTGGTTAGAGACCTTTCACTACTTGTCCAGGCAGCTTCTTCAGTCTCTCTCATGTAATCAACTCTTTACAAACTTCATTTGTAAAGTTGACAACTTTCCAGCAGAGGGAGCAAGACTGAAATAGAGAAGCTGTTATGCAGCTACTAAATTCTATCTTGTTATCAGAATCTGAATAACGCAAGGCTTTCGTACCAAAGCTCCTGGAATCAATGTCTCCCTCTCTCCCTCCCTTTCCTGAACTTCCAAAGAACAGCACAATTGGATACCTGCAGTTAAGGCCAGAAGTCATTTAAGGAACTGAAGAATGACCTTGAGACATACAATCAATTGTTATTTTGGGGGTAGATAGAAAGAGGCACAAGCATCTTCTTCATAAATAAAAAGTGCATTTGCATCATACTCCCAGAATGCCAAAATGAAGGTTCCTTCCCTGTCAATCAACAAGGAATAACAGCCAATAACACTATTTTTTAAGGAGGACAAAATGAATGTGAGACATGAGATATGATTGACCACTGCAGGAGGGAGGAAAGGAACTTTTCTTCACCAATGTAACATAAAAAGACATGCCTATTTCTGAGTGAAAAGGTTTTGTTTCTGATACTTCCTTGAGAAATATTTGGAGGGGTACCACTTTGAGACTACTTCTTACTGTATCTATTTTCAAGTTTTCATAGCCACATAGGATTCTCTGGATTGGTTCATACAGCATGAACATGGGACATGCTATTGAAGTCAATGGGAAAAATTGAACTTGGGTCTATATTCTTATTTTTAAAAATGACAAAAAGCTGGAGTTCTTAAATACTTTATTGGTATGCAACATCATTGTAGTACCAGTTATTAAGAAATCTAGTATATTGACAGATATCTAATATTTCATTATATAGTTTTTTTAATAGAAAATTAGTATTAAAAAAATGTCTGTTCTATGTTTAAGATTACTTTGGTATCCTACTATCAAATTAAAAGTTAAGAAGTTAGGGTCAAAGAACATAAATGCCACATCTATTTTAATATTTTTACAGATTGGGATGAGTAGATTTCATCCATGGTTCTAAGGGATTTGATGGAGTGGAAATGCTTCAACTGTACACAAACATTTTTTCAATCAGTCATTTCTCCTGGATGACTATTATGCTTCCCTTCTCCATCTATCCACACACCCAGTCAACTTCTTTCATCCTGGATCATGGGAATCTGCCAGGGGGGTAGAATCTCCAAGATGGGGAGCATGGTCTTATGGTGTAAGTCCCACCCCTTTTGTATGGGCATGTATCAATTTATATGAATAAGTCAACAGTTTTGGTTTCACTCTCCTTCCTTTATCTAATCCCTGTTTTTTTTAAAACAGGAGCCATCACAGTAAATATTTGTAAGTCTTAATAATGGCTCCTAGGCAGCCATCGTATATATCTAAACCTGGGAGAAAGCCCCATTGTACTCAGTAGGGGAACTATGTCTAGGATAGCACTTTAAGTCTGACAGTATATAACAGATGGCTTGATTATGTGCAGTCAGGTTAGAGTTGACTGCTAGTGACCATAAAGAGAGACCTTGTCCGGATGATCTGTGCCCAACCTGACCCTTTATGTCTTCCAATAGTGCACCCATCACCACTGTAATCGAGTCTTGGGTATATGCATCAGTGCCCAACTAGGTTGCAACACCTGACAAACCATGCCTGATGTTGAAAAGCTAAGTATTGTGAGACTTGGGTAGCACCTGGGTAAGAGACGACCAAATACTAGCACGGTAGGTTAGACTGGGAAGTCCAAAAGCATCGAGGAAGAAGGCAGGGGCAACTATATTATTGCCAGAACCCATCATGAAAATGACTAAGAAGTGACTGGGACTCAAGCTCAACTTGAAAGGATATATATATATACTTGATAAATACTATA